GGGCGGGCGGGCGGGCGGGAGGGAGAACCCACGATCCCGCCGTCTCCGTCCCCCCGCGATCGCCGGCGGCACCTCTCCCCCCGTGGGGCCGAGGGGGGGTCCTCTCCGGCTCCTGCTCCCCGTGCCCCCCACCCTGTGCCTGTGCAAACTGGGGGGGTCCTGCCGGCCCTGCCAGCGCCTCCTGCTCCATCCAGGGGGACCCTCCACTGCCCGGGGCAGAGTGTGGGAATGGGAGAAGAGGAAAAGGGGGGGGCGCTGCGTGACCCCCCCCGCCCAGCACCCCAGCTGCGGTGTGGGGAGCTGGATGTGGGGCAGGGACACCCCATCACAGCCCAGGACACGGAGCCACTGTCACTTGGAGTCAGGCCCGCGTCCCCACCGCAGTGCCAGTGTCCACCCAGGTGCTGAGGACACGGGGAGGGGGGGTCTTGGCCCCCCCGCTGGCTCCGGTTCCCCCCACGGCACCTGCACTGGCTGTGGGGCCGCGGCTGCCCCCCCCGGGGCTCCTGCCAGCCTCTGGCCCGTGAGGAGCATCTCCCGGCCGCTGCCAAAGGATTCCTCGAAGATGCCTCACAGCAGCCAGGACGGGAGGCACCGCGGTGGCGGGGGGGGAGCCGGGTTCCCCGGGTGGCCGTGGCCACCGGGACAGGGGCTGAGCCTGGGGCTGTGGCCCGGGGGGCTCCTGGCTCTGCGGGGAGGATGCTGTGGCCGGTCAGGGCTTGCACCCCAAGGTGCCCATGCACAGGGAGCACTGCAACCCACCGGGCACAGGGGCTGCCGGCTCCCCGAGCCCCCGGGGTGCTCTGGGGGCCCAAACAAGGGTCCTGCAAGAGCCCCATCCCCTGGGACCCCCACCCGGCTGCTCGGCCAGCGCCCTTGGAAGGGCCTTTTCCTGGAAGAGGCGGCCTTGGACAGAGGTCCGGGCAGAAGGGCTGCCGAGCACCGCAGGAAGGAACTGGGTCCGGCCCGAGTCCGACTGTCTCCAAAAGCACGTACTTTCTCCATGACTGGACTGACAGGAATCCAGAAGTGAGTCACAAATTCCCCAGGACCCTCAGGGGACAAAGCACAGCCACTGGTGAAAAGGACATCATCATCCCCCAGCTTCTGCTCCCGGTCGTGGTGCTCCCGCGGGGCAGCTCCCTGGCAGGGGCCGGGGATGCCGTGGGTGTTGCCGGCAGAGCTGGCCCCTTCCCGTTCGTGTTGCAGCCCCTGCCCCCGCCAAAAATGATAAGGGCTCGTGTGTGGAGGCGGGAGCAATGACAGCCCCCCCTCACCCCCTCCCCGCGGCCGTGCTCGGTGCCAAGCGTGGCTCTTGGCGGGATGCGGCGTGCCGGCACTGCGGGGTCACGGCTCCATGGCATTTCCCTCTTCCTCCCCCCCCGTGTGTCCCCACGCCGGGGAGTGTCAGCTCTGCCGTACGTCGGGGAGCCAAGGTGGAGCGGGACAAAGTCCAGCCAGGCCACGGGAGGCAGAGCCAAGTGCCAGGGGCTGGCACGCACCCCTGCCCTGCCCTTGCCCGTCTGCGGCTGCTCCGGGGGAGGGAGAAGGTGCCGGCCCCCAGGCCCCGCTGCACGGAGCCATGCAAAAACCCCAGATCCAGGTGGATCGTTCCCAGATGCCTCCCCCCGGGCGCAGCAGGGACACCGCCGAGATGCACCCATTGCGCGGTTCTCCCATGGGGTGCAGGGTGAGCACCCCCCGGCGATGCACAGCCCCACGGCGGGTGAAGACGCCGCCTGTTGCAGCGACGTGTCCCTCCAAACCCACTCGGGAGAGCCACTCGGGGTCCGGGGGGGCCGGGCAGAAGCTGGGGCAGGGCCCCCCCACGGGGCTCACGCGGAACCTTCTGGGCGCTGATGCGTCCTGGCTCCCCCTTCAAAGCTCCCACTTCAAAGTAGCCCCGTGGCCACGTGCCAGCCAGAGGTGTGCGGCGCCGGCAGCGGCCAAGGCACCTCTCGCCAGGTGCTTGGAGGGGCCAGGAGACCAGAGTGACCCCAAACCCCCCATCCCGGCAGGCTGGGGCAGCTCCGGGGGCAGCAATGTGCTGCCCCCCCCAGTGCTCGGCACAGCCCAGCGCCCCAGGACGAGCCAGAAACGGGTTTGTTGGCGAGAAACAGCCAGGAAAGGCAGGGACTGACCTGCCATGAGCCCTGGCTTCCTCCCCAGCCAGCGCGGAAAGGGGCCACCCCCAGCCCCCCGACACTCACGGGCTGGGGGACACGCTGTCCCCGTGGGGTGCCACGAGGTGGGGAGGGGGTGAAGGCTTGGGGTGAAGGCTTTGGGTGAAGGCTTTGAGGTCCCTTTGGGGCTGTGGTCTGTGGGGGCAGGGGGCTCACACCCCCACCTTCCTTGGGATGGCCCCGTGACCATGGCAGCGTGGTCCTCCACCTGGGGACACACCGTGACACGTCTAAAGAGGCAGAGGGGGGCACAGCCCTTCCCGGGGGGCAGCGACCCTCCTCGCTCCAAACGAGCCCCCTCTGCAGTGGCATCCAACCTGCAGCCCCCAGGCACCACGGGGGGCGATTGAGCCCCACTGCCAGCTCGGGGGGGGCGGCTGTGGCTGGAGGGGTGGCCGGAGGGGGGGTCAGGGAGGTGGCCGGACGCTCTCCGGGCGCAGCGCTCGACGGCAGGGCTGGAGTGCCACCTCTCGGGAGAGAGACAGCAGGCAGGCAGGCAGCCTCTACTCCAAATTTTAATGAAAGAAATAAGTTAATAAGTTAATCAAGTGAGGTAACTCCCGCCGGCTGGGGAGGTCTTGCAGGGGACCAGCCAGCCACCCCCCGGGGAAGGGGGTCCTACGAGTTAGTTCCTGCGTGTGTGGCTGCGGGCAAAGCTCTCGCATGCACCCCACGCCCCCCACGGCACCCCACACCCCCCACAGCACCCCGCCGTCCCCTCGTGTCCCCCCAGCATCGCAGGGGAGGGGGCTGGGGTGATGCAGGAGCTGGGGGGGGTCTCCCAGCTGCTCTGGCAGGGCCCGCG